TCAGCAGGGAGGCCTGCTTAACTTTGCATCCTGTTGTAGGTGTCAGCACTGTCAAAAGATATTACGAGTGAGTGCTTCAGGAACTATGCTGAAAAGTAATCTATATAAAAACATTAGTGTTGTGATTCCCATTTTAATCTGAAATTTGAGAGTATGCTTCAAAGATACTGAAGCTTGTGTAAGAATTAGTACTGGCTTACAAGATTAGTAAGTGGTATCAAATACTGCAATTTCACCAACAACTTCAAATTTAAGTAAGTTTCTTCTACTCAAAGATATCTTAGTTATGACATAAACAAAACAAACACGTTTTGTTGTTGGGTTTTTTCCCAGATAAAATAAGGCAAATTGATCCAATGCATCTGCTATAACTCAGGTGTGCTGGTTTTGACTGGGATAGAGTTAATTTTCTTCACAGCAGTTAGTATGGTGCTATGCTTTGGATTCGTGCTAAAAACAGTGTTGATAACACAGGCACGTTTTCATTACTTCCCAGCAGTGCTTGCACAGAGTCAAAGCCTTTTCTGCTTCTCACACCACCCCACCAGTGAGCTGGCTTGAGGTACACAAGGGGTTGGGAGGGGACACAGCTGGGACAGATGACTCCAACTGACAAAGGGGATATCCCATACCATACGATGTCACACTCAGCATATAAAGCTGGGAAAGCAGAACGAAAGGGTGATGGTGTTTGTCTTCCCAAGTAACTGTTAAACATGAAGAAGCTCTGCTCTCCTGGAGATGGATGAACAGCTGCTGGCCAATGGGAAAATAGTGAATGAATTCCTTGTTTTGCTTTGCTTGTGTGTGTGGCTTTTGCCTTGGCAGTTAAATTGTCTTTATCTCAGCCCATGAGCTTTCTCATGTTTACTTACATCCTACCAGGGAAGAATGAGTGAGCAGTTGTGTGGGGCCAAGTTGCTGGCAAGGGTTAAAACCACAACATAGGGTTATATGGATACTTCTCAAAATTATCTTTGCCAAGGTGTTAAAATGCTCTTCTGTAATTGAGCAGATTTTTCTACTATTCTCTTATGCACTGTTTGGACGAGGTGTAGTAACTAGCTAATTCTGTCCAAATGTATCCCCACTGGCATTATTAAATGACATACTAAATGAATTAATTTACCCATAGAATAACTGGCAGAAGGCAGAGAGGTCTGTGATAGACTAAGTTACATTTGATTAACTAAGTCATTCTCAGTACCTCAGAAGTCAGCAGCTGGGAACTCAGGTTATAACAGTCAGTTCAGATAGAGAAAAAAAATCTGAGACTGCTACAGAACAGTAGCAGCATGTCAGCTATCTTGTAATGTCATGCAGTTACTTGCGTATTCAAGTAGTAATTAAAGCAAAACAGCTATAAAGAAGATTTTTATCTTATTTGCTAAGCCGGAGGAAACCGAATTAAAAAAAGGAGAAACATTTTCAAAAATCTCACCATTTATTTGGGAAAAAATATTTTAGCTAGCCTTTGGAAAAAAGGCAACAGTTATGTTCTGAAATATCATTGAACCATATAATAAAATATTTATTATTCAACACTCACAATGCTTTAGGTTTGTCCTTCTCATTCTCATACAAGCTAGGCTTGAAGTAGGTTCCTGTGATTTTTATCCCAGATCCCCATTCTCCACTGAAGAGACCTTCAATATAATCTCCATTTGGCAAGGTCAGTGTTCCCTTGGGAGAAGATAAAAAAATGGAACCAAAATTGGGAACCAAATTACAAGGAAAGAGACTTCCCCTCCACAATGGTAACCGTTTACAAGTGACAACTGTAATACCAACCTTTCCACTCAGAGTCCAGTTATCTGAAAATTCCCCCTCATAGACTGTATCATCCTCAGAAAGCAGAATTCCAGTCCCCTATAAAGAGAATCATAAAGAACACAAAGCAGTAATTACAACAAAAGACCAGATCTAAAGAAATACTGAAAAATCTGTTACTAATTTGTAACAATTTTTTTTTTAAAGTAGTTTCTGAAGTAGTCCTAGGTAAAAGAGAGCAGCGAATATAAAGACAGTTTTAAAAGCCAGGACAACAGAAGGTTAGAACAAAAAGGTTTACACAGCCTAACATACACTCATCTATCCCAGAAAACCACACTACACTTCGGAAAAACCACTATAGCACAGATTCTGGTGTCCGACTCACCATCATTTTGTTGGTGCTGAAGGCTCCTTCATAATACAGTCCAAACTGAGTAACCACAACACCATTGCCTTGGCAAAGATCATCTTGCCACATTCCCATATACTTTTCTCCTCTGAAGAAAAATGAAGTAGGAAAAATACATTCTAGGTAGCACATTTCTCTCCTTTTAGATTTACTGTGATATTTGACCATTACAGAAAGTCATACAGCATTTGTTTCAGGTCTGTCAATCTAGTTTCACTAGCATCATAAAGAGACTCTTTTTGACAGAAATAAACTGTAATGAACTTCCTTTCACAACTCACATTACAAATTACCCACATTCATTTCAGAAAAATATACACGTTCCCACACATTCTCTTCACTTCCAGTCTTTTTACTACTCTGCTTTTTAAGTGAGCTTTCAGTTCAGTTAAACCAAAGCCAGTTGTCTTCGGCTCTCACCAAAAGCACTTTTCAGGAAAAGACAGCGTTAAATTAGTGACTTAAAAAACAGACTATATTGATCTGTGCTCAGATGGGATTTATTTAGTGCACATACTTAGTGCAATTCTGTTTCTAAAACCATCAATTCACTCATCTACCCTGATAGAAAGTATCTTCCAGCTGCTTCATTGACAAAAGAAGTCAATGGAAAACCTGAGCACAAGCTGAAGTGTACTTAGTCCTGTATATCCAACCACCGAACAACTCAGCCTTACAGGTCTGAGATGAAGAATACTCTTCATGTGACATTCCTCAAACTTTCAGCACTCGCACAAGAAGATACCTTAATAAGATACCACATTCAGTGCTAGTTTTCAGGCAGTACTATGATAGGAAAGCAAGGGAGGAAAAAAAAAAAAGAAACCCAAAAAACCAGAGCAAAATAAAACCCACCACATTTACCCCAGAAGCAGCACCAAAAAGCAGTCTCTAGACCCAGTTCCTTAGATAATCAACCCAGAAAGCCTAGTATAAAGAGGAAAAAAAAACTAAAAAACCCAACAACAAAAGACACACTCACCACTACTGCTACTAACAAAGCAAATCCTTTCCTACTCTTTACAACTGTACATCATATCAGTGTTTACGGATTTGTGGAACTGAAGCATTACCTTGTAATATCATCAAAAACTCCATAACCACTCTTCTTATCCATTGTCCACTGTCCAATGAACATACTGGGAGAGGAAGAGGTCAGCTTCCCACTGCGTAGCAGGCCATGCCCGTGACGCATATTATCCTGAAAACATCCTTCGTACACCTCACCAGTAGCATAGCTATAATGAAAAACAGAATAAGAAAGATTCCTATAATCTACTTCTCTTTTGGTTTTGGTTTGTTGTTGGTTTTGGTGGAGTTTTTTGTTTTGGTTTTGTTTTGTTTTGTTTTGGTTAGTTGGTTGTTTTGAGGGGGTTTTTTGGTTGGGTTTTTTTTGATGGGTTTTTGTTGGGTTCCCACCCCACCATCCTGAAAAGATCAACCCTCACTTTTTCCTTCTAGGAATTACATTACAGCCACACCGAGCAGGAACTATAGTAAGTGTATTTAGGATAAAAGTGAGCCTTCGGTACAAGTCTTTCGAAGCTTTGTTGTTTTAAAGCCACTCTCTCCCAAGCAAGGCCATTAGAGTTCATATTTTATCTCTCAGACAAAAGAATCATCTATTATTGAAAGGTGGTAGCCACATTAGAATAAATACTAATAATAGAACACTGTACAAATATGCATTGAGCAATCTACCAAAAGCGAAGCAGAAAATAAGCAGAGTTAACTATGATCACAGGTCTGAAATGTAACAAGAAGGCTACATTCAGAGAGGCTTGGCAAGCAGTTTGCCAGACCATCAGCCTTGCTCTCCTTTCTCCAATGACAGCAACACAAGTGCTACATATGTTACCTGTAGACTCCATGCCCGCACATTTTGCCTTCCTTCCAGTACCCCACGTAATGGTCATCCTTGTTCAATGCTTTGTTTGGCACTCTGTATTCACCATACCTGTCACCGCAGGAAAATGGAACACAAGCAGATATAATGCTAAGAGATTTCATTAAAAACAGGAACAGATGCCACAAATCCATTCTAAAATCAGAATGCTCTATATGATTTTTAGTGCATCTCTTCAGCTACAGCAGAAGATACAGATATTTATTTTTTTCAAAGAGAAAGCAGGAATTCCAGCATCACTAGGTCAGTTTAGCCCGTACTGCTTTTCTCCTGTTTGACTGTGGCATGTTATAAGTATCCCACTCTCTACCACACCGCAGCACTTTTCTCAACTTTCTAAAGGCCACAAGTCTTCTCACATTCTAAGACTGCTTCTACCCTTTTGATGACTTCTTCAGGTCTTGATAAATCAAGCACATTTTTATTCCAGGGAAACATGAGAACATATATTGTTACAGAGAATATTAAAAAAAAAAACCAAGCAAACAAAAAACCCCTAAAATTTAAAAAGATGCTAGCTTCCAATTATGCTCAAACAGTGGCACAGAATTGTTCACAATTTCAGCATGCCTGAAAAGAGACATCCAACTTTGTTTATTGATTTTAATCTTCTGAGACTAAAACCCAGTTACAAAGGTTCTCCTGAGAGCATTACTACTGTTAGCTGCTGAGACTAGAGCATGCATGTTGAAATACTGATATATGCATTTGATAATCCTAGCAGTTACAGCTAAATACCAATCCACTCATTTCTGGTAGGGATTTGTTTGCAGTATTTCCATCTGCAACAACCCTAAAATCACCAGGGTTAGTTACATTTACTATTAGTTATAAATGACCAAAGCTCTGGTTTTATACCAATAGCTAAGGTGCATTTTAAACAGCTGTCTGCAGCCAGACCGCACTTCAATTTCCCCTCCAACTCAATACTTTGAGAATACATCTGACAGCCAATACTCATATTTTTACCCTGCCCAGTACAGTCATGTCTGCTCATGAGATTCATATAAAAATGCCTTTGGAAAGAACTTAATCTCTTGGCCTCAATAGTGCCCTGAGCAGATTCTTAGCAATGAAATGCATAGATTAATTCAAAGCTATATAACAAATAATTAAGTTACTTTCAGGTGGTCTAATTTGTTTCACCAGATAACTTGATAATGTCCAGGACTTCTGCTCATCCTATTTTCAAATTCCTCTGCACTAGTCATCTTACTCATCAGGATTACATACTCTTAGTTTTGTTTTCATCATCCAAACCCTGAAGTCTCAATTCAAGATTTTGTCTCCTTTCAGAATTATCAAACCCTTGCTCTACCAGGAATACAGCAAGGAAAACACCAGAGAAGATGCACCGCCACACTGTATGAAAGGCACTGCATTTTCTAGAAGGATTGAAAACAAACCCAAGAACTTTTCAAAGAATATTGCAACACAGAAAATTAATAGTTACTTATACAACAAAAAGTTGACTTCAGACTTTTCCATTTGTTTCCTCTGCTTTGGAATTTACACCCACCCGTTCTCTCTCCTTGGATGTTTTACCATTTCCTTCCTCCATCCTACAGCTGATTACCACAACTTGTTTCAGTTTTTATGAAAGAGCAAGTTTTTAATCACACATTTGCAGAATCTGTTGTGAAGATTACTAGCATACCTCTGGATAAATGAGATATTATCTATTTATCATCAGATAGTTATATCTTGTTAACATACACAACCCTGAGTCAGTATGATTCATGGCAAAACCTTTAATTAAAAGGTTTTTTGTTATTACCTCCTACAACAAAAGGTATTTCTTGCCCTCTAGTTCCATAAGTAGTGAGAGGATCTTACCCATCCTCCAGCCCAGTCCGGAAAGTCCCAGAGTACATTCTTCCATCTGCCCACTTCAGGATCCCTCTGGAAAAAATACAAAGCCATATATGTGTATATGATAATCAGTTCACTTCACACTTCCCAAATTACTCCTGTGAGTAAGCCTACCTATTGATACAGCAACTACTTCATTTCATTTCATTTTTAACTGTTATGCTCAAATGCTTTTACCTGCCATGAGGTTTTCCTGAAAGCCATCTCCCATCATAGACAGCATCCTTAAATCTAGGGTCCTTATAGAAGGTGTATTTGGCACTGCGAGAAATAGGAGGTTCCTGTCTTGACACATTCCCACCAGCTCCATACAGAATTAGGTCAGAAGTCCCTTTAAGGGCCTGATCCACAGCTTGGCTTATGGCCCTCAGCCACTTGGTCTGAAACAGAAAGTGTTTCATAACAGAATTTAGCTAACATCTGTTTTTGCATTGAATCTCACCTTTACAGCAACCAAAATAATCTCCCTTGAACTCCTCAGTACAGTGCTGCAAACTGGAACACTGCTACAGTCAAGCACAATGTACAGTCAACCTGCATAGCAAGTTGTAGAAAGACTTCACTCTTAGTGAATACTTAGGCAATACTTCTCCTAGTTTGGTTTCACAGTAAGAGAGGGAAAAACCCAACTTACTCATATCACTGAAGCCATGCAAAAATTGTAGATATGCCTACCTTTTCCTGTGGTGTTGAAGAAACAAGAACAAACTGTTCTTCTGGTGTTGTAATCTTCAATCCATTCCTACATGGGGGGGGGTCGGGCATGGGGAAGGAAGAAATATTTTAGTCTAGTGAAATTTCATCCTGAAAAAGGCAAAGTTTCTTAGATCATGAATATTTTATCTTCTCTCCCCCATCCCAGCTAGCCTTCACTTTAATATTAAGTCAGCAGTGTAAAGCAGCAGCAAAGACTACTTGCTTTCTTCTTGACTACCTTATTCTTTTTGATGTTTATATAACTTTTTTTTTAAAGACACAGAAATACAGCAAGTTATCTGAAATAAGAAAGAGAGGTAGACATGATTTAATGCGGCCTATTCTGCTCCTATTTTAAAATAATTGGTTACAAAATGCTCATCTTCCCTCCCAAGAAATCTGACTATTTCAGCATCACAAGCAAGAATACTCACACATTACCAGCTTCTTCTGAAAGAGCTTCTACCCACAGTGTGGACAGGGGAAAAATATGGTGCGTTGAAAACTGTAAGCAAAGATAAGAAGGGAAACTTCAGCAGGTGCTGATACATTACACCCCTGCCTAATGTTTTTTCTGAACAGTTTTTTTTTTGCTTTGAGGACTAAGGAAAACTGAGCATCACAGACTCCTTATATGCACTCTGCTCCAAGAGACAGCCAACAGAAGCCATGCCTGCCACAAGGCAACAGCAACCTAACATTAAAAAAAACCCCATAATTTCAAATCTATTTGTAAAAATGAAAAGACTATCACTTTTAAGTGTTCGAGCAACATTGCAATGAATGGTGCAAAAAACTTATCCTCACTATATGAAAGCTATGCCACGTTGTTTGAAGCAGAGAAAAGATTTTGTTCCTGCATACAAGCTGGCTTACCTGAGCATGTACAAGAGCATCATTAAAGAGGATGAACCAGTTTACAGAGAATCTTCCAGCATGCTGTAGGGACAACCCCCGATTGCTGCTTTCACAGATTAAACGACGTTCTGGCTTCCGCAAGGAATCCTACAGGTAGAGTTAAAAAACAGAATTACAGAAGCTTACTTCTCACTTATTGTGACTTAAGATCAGTGCTACTTGCCTCTCACAGTAATGACCCAACCTTTCTAAAGTTAAGAGTACTACAGCAAGACAACTTAGAAAAATGAGAAATGCAATTGGGACAGTAGCATCAGTAACAGACACCAGGTATAATATTAACAGCAAGAGATTCAAGCTGCTAATGGACTGACAATTGTCATTATACCGTCATTTTCCCAGGAAAAGTCTTCCAGAAGCCCAGGGTGTATTCTGCTTCTTTCCTTTTTCTGCTAAGATGGACAGCAAGGCTCTCATAACAGGAACTCGAATCCTGTAGCTTCTGGTATTCTGGAGATGCCTATAGGGCACAAGGGAAGACAGACCTGAGAGTGTTTCTGAACACCTGTGCCAACAACACTAACCAAGGTGCAATACAACTGCTCATTTTATTAAATCAATGCCAAATGGATGACATAGTCGTGGTAACCAGACAACAATAGTCTGGTTACTAAAGTAACAGTGGAGGCTAAGTTATTTTCTTGGTCACTTGTTCTGTTGGTGTGCTAGGAGTTTTTAAAATCACCAAAGTTCCATGAACTTTAAGAGGAGAATGATTAATACACAATTACATGATCCACCTTCTCACAGCTTAACAAGCTGTAGCAGTAGTGCTCATAATTGCAGGAGGAATACTTTAAATGACTACATTGAAATAAATGCACAAGTAGTTATTGTTCCTGTTTAGTCATCTTTTATCTCAAAAGAATGCAATTAAATACATCTAAATGGGTGGTAAAAGTCTAGCTAGTAGTATGCAGTATTTTTAGTAGAGTATAACACGCAAGCATCAAAATAACAAGCTTGCAATTAAGCACTCAGGCACACAAGTAAGTTCTGGCAGGGTAACAAGTTTCTACCTGTCACATGGTCTGTGCAGGTGTGGTATAAGATTGTGCAAATAAATTAGCATGATCTTCCCTGCAGCAAATATATGTCCTAGGTAGCTTCTCTGAGGACTAAGCTATTTCTAATTAGCTGGCATTTGCTTCACACAGTTACTTCCAAGCCATAAGTTTCACACGTGTATTTATTCAGATATAGATAACAAAGCCAGCTCACCACTTCAAAACACGTAGCAAGCTTTAGCAAAGTTCTAGCATAATTATGAAGTCGTCCAAATGGCATGAAAAACAGAGCATTCAGAACTTCCACTAGCTGGAGGTTTTCTTCATTCTTCTCAGCCAGTTTCTGTAACAGCTCCTGGTTTTTACTCAAGAAGTCTCTAAATGATGGGACCATTGGGGAACAGAGGGAGGAGAGAAGAAAAAGAGACAGCAAGATATCAGTGATGTTTTATATAAATGAGCTCCGAAAGTCCCTTTTTGGATTATCAGAAACCAATAAAAATGATAAAGGCAAATGCATGCTGCTCATTAAGCTATTCCCAGTTTAGTTTAAGGAAGTACAGTGATACAGACACGTAGCTCTAACTACAACACAGGACATTTTTACTTGCGCTCTCACATACTCAGTCATTAAACTAGTCGAAGAAAGTTGACTAAGTTGCTCCACTTGGAGAGTAACTAATTGCCTTTTTCCCCTTTAACACTTTATTAGTAGAAGAGCTAACAGGTGGAATGACTTCCCCATTACTGCTAGAGTAGTATGTTTCTAACACTGGTGATTCATACAAGACAGCCTGAAAGAATCTTAACTTTGCTCCAGTGCACTTCCCTAAATATATCCAAATAATCTCTTCCCCACCCCTGCTGTTCAAGGCAACTGACCGGTTTTTTCCCTTAACTAGAAAAATTACATCCTACCTCAAAGAAAGGCAGGAAATCTGTTCAATCCTCAGTCTGATTTCCAAGAGGGAGAACTAATCTAGTTCAGAGAAGAAGAGGGAAATGATTCTGAAGACAATGCATTAGCACACAAACTAGGATTTCTTCATTAAAAGGAAGACAAACCTACTTTTCCCTCTCCTTCACCACGTCTGTGTGCTCAAATGTGCTGACACAAATGACGCATCTGCATTAAAACATATCCAGCTGGGAAGAATTTAAACCACAAGCTGCAAGAATCAGGTGAGGCTGAGAAAGCAGGGCCCAGAGACAGCAAAACAGATCAGAGAATTGCACAGCAGGGTCCCTAAGAACTCTACATGATTAGTAAGATGCCATTTCACACATCAAAATAACATTCATTGTCTAGATCTGCTAATGGTATTTAAGAATTCGTTTGTTCAACAAGCCTTAGGAATAAATTCTTCATTAGAGAGACGATCATATTTATCAATTTTTAAATTTAATCATCTGGCTGGCTGGCATTTTTGAAGTGCTTCAAGATCCTCACATAAGTGGTCTCTCTGTAGAAAAGTGTCAAATAATAACAGATTCATAACACTGAATATAGCTTGTCTCCTCTTCCAAAGAAAATGCTCAAAAACCTGCCAACAATGGAGACTTCTTCTGAAGCTAGGTGGGTTTTTTTGGGTTTTTTGTGAGGGTTTTTTTTTGCTTTTTTATTGTTGTTGTTGTGGTTTTGTTTTTTTAAGTTGGGGCTACTTCTAATGCATTCCTATTGCAGAATATCTATAAAAGACAAGGTAACATCATTAACCATTGACTAAGACAGTATCCCTTCAGGTAGGAGGCAGAAATATATCATTATCAGCAAAGATATTCTTGACTTCCCATTGCAAGCAGTAGGACTAAGCTTCTAAGACATCTCCTTCGTCAAGTTTAAGAACCTGGAAAATTCTTATTGTTGTCATGAGACCCTGGCTGCAGTAGGAGAAGCTGTGAAACCTGACAGTGACAACTGATGTGAAGAACTCAGTATAGGTAATTTCAGCATCCAGTAATTATAAACAAGCTTACACTTAAACTAAGATGTCCTGTAAATCACTCTAAAAATCTTGACCAATGCAGAAAGATGCTCGGTGTGTCTCTAGAGTGGGATTTTGTATTTAGTCTTTGGCACTGGTCCTCAGGTGCAGAAGATTCTTCACATTAGGTACACTGGTGTTCCAAAGAACTTCCAATACCATCATTTACACTACATTTAGAGTGCTCCATAAACAGCTGTAACAGAATTACTCCTAGACTGCAGAATTTGGGAAGGAAGGAAGGCTGGCAATTCCTCAGAATTAAAAAAAACCAAACAACAAACACTCACCGCAACAAATCCTTCACAGCACTAGAGTGAAAGATGTACAGTGTCATTACTTCATTTCCTAGGCAAAAATACTATTGAACTGAGAAAAAGGCTTTACTTTACAATCTATAAAGTTCAAATATAATGTCTCGGTCCCTAAGGTGCAATTCCTTCCTCATATTTAAGAGCATCTATGCATAAAATAAAGAAACCTTGAGAGGCAGAGAAGTTACAGAAGCAGTAGCATTATTACTGCATCATTTTAAAGTGCTTCCATAAACTTAAGAATACAAACAGAAGTGAATTCATATTATCTACTCTTACTAATCCTTAAAGAAAAAAGTTTGCTCTTCTGTATTTTCTTGACAGCGACATTTAAAAGATTAAAACACGAACAAACCCTCAGTAGATGATGAAAATTTAACCTCAATACTAAGCTTTCAAAAAAAAAATCTGAAATCTATTTATGTTTCTTTCAAGGAATTTACAATAGTTTATACTTTTTTTCCTCTTTCCTCCACCTTCAAGGTAAAGTAACTAAACTCATTCAGCAGCATTTTAACCTAAGCTTTTAATCACAGCTGAGAGGAAGTAACTTTTTCTTTATCTGATGGAAAAGGACTTGGTGTATTCAAGGAAGCTGAAACCAAGTCTCTGCATGCTCATTACTACACACATGGACACGCAATTCTTTAAAGTTCAGATCTTTGCTAGTCAATCAAAAACTTCAGAAAACAGTAAAGGTTTGCTTACAGTGCTGGCTTTGCAAGAAGCATAAATCCTCCCATTACCAGGAAGTTTGTTACTGAAGTACAATACCTAAAATGGGAAAGAAAAAGAGCTTCAGTTACAAAATAAGAACATCCCTGGAAATAGCAACTGTTGTTGTAACTTCCAACAGTTTATTGGTTAGATTTGTAATACCTTTTACTATACAAGTAATCTAGGCACATGAGAAAAATACTGAAAACTCAGTGTTACTGAAACACTTCCACATGGAGGACAGAACATTCCACATTTCTCCTGCCATTAGCACAATGCAGAGGGTTTACTTCACAAAACTAATTTTTTTTGTTTCCTCAACAGCTTAACACTGCTACCTTCTAATTATATTCAAGATGGAAACGTCAAGGCGAGAATTTCTGTTTTCCTGCTATTCACATCATTCTCCTTTCACTTCTCCCTGACCAAAAAAGAAAACCATTTAAAAAAACCACCAACAACCACCTTTCTCCAAGGGGAGAGGTCTCAGCTTAGCCCAATTAACAGATAAGACGTGTGTTGCCTGATGGATCCTTGGAAGATGCTCAAGGCACTATGCTGAGGAGCATTCATAGGTTCTGATGCCATACATAGAAAAACATGTAAAGCATTAGAAAGCAAAAGGGGAGAGCAGAAGGCAGGCAGTAACAACGAGAAAATAAATTAGGTATTTCAGTCTTTGACAGGAAAGATGAATTAAGAAATCCTTTTAATCTGAGTAATGACAACCAATTCTGAAAATTCAGGTTACAAGAAAAACTGAAGTCAAAGACTACGTAAGAAAATATGTATTTACAATTATGACAATCCATTTCATAACTGTAGAAGAAAGCTGCTTCTAGGGTGATACGGCGTAAGTTTATCACTGACCCAGTAAGATGGTAACTACTGTGCTTGTGTTAGAAAAAAGTGCAACTAGCTGCACATTCCAAATGGTACTGTGTAACAACTAAAGCTGATGATCTTGAAATTTTGTTTCCTTAGAGATTTTCAGAAATCTGGTAACCAGACTACATGCAGAGAGGACAGTTTAAGACTCTCTCCTCTGTCAAGCCAGTGTTTTTCACATAATCCTGTAGGTACAAGTATAATAAGATTTCTGCTACATTTGGATGAAATTATCCAGCAACTACAGAAATTACTGAGAAGAAAGACAGCAAACAGTGTGACTGCATAGACTTCCTCTCCCAGAAGCATTAAACTTCATAATAATAACCAGGATAATTCAGACTTCATTCTGAGCACTAAAGCAGCTGTCTTTCAGGTGAAAGGCAATGATAGCTATTTAGCAGATACCAGGAGCTCTGGGAGACAATTTTTAGTTAATGACTATTGTAAAGGCATTGCATAACCACAATAAACTCCCAAAGGTAGCTTTACTTATTAGCCTAGCCATGGCAACTCTATTGCATTATATTACAAGATCCTTACTATTAACTAACGAACAGGTCACTTTTTACAGGTATATATGCAGCAACCAAAGAAGAGTTTGTACACAGATTTACATTAGGGAAGCTGAAGCTTTCCAGTGTGCTCCATTGGTAGAGACTTTGAAATATATAGCTCACTACAAAATGAATTAGGTTGTGTAAAACTCTACATACATTTTCAGCTGCAAGAACTCAATTTGCACAGCAGTTACTTATGTGGCTTTCTTTATGATCTAGTTTCCCCTAACTCAGGACTTGCTGTGGTCAGTAGATTAAGCCTGCAGAGACTCAAGATGAGAGATAATTGGATACTTGCTCAGTGTAACTATCCAAAAAGAGACTGGAATGCTTCAGGATGGCCAAGCTCCTGGCTTCTTTCACTCCATGAAGAAAGCTACTTAAAGAAGCTCCATGTTGACCAATGAGATAGCATAGCTTGCTGAACCTGCTTGCCATTTCCTGCAACAACTGGATTGTATTTGCATTGCCCAAATTATCTGTAACAGACCAGAAAATAATTTAGCTCACCTTACGAAAGAGCAGCACCCATTAATAAAGAGAATTATCACAAGATGCTGTTTAGATGTTTTCCTGGCAATTTAATCTCATGGCTACATTACTGAGTCATGGATTTAACAATTTTAGACTAAATACAGCTCAGACAATAAGTTATTTCAGGTGAAACAGTCAGGAAAGTACAAATACTACGAATATAATGCAGTTGTATTTCACGACTTTATCTGAACAGGAGAGAAGAGTAAGAACTTAGCTTTATCTTAAAAATACATAATTATTTTTAAATTTTGCATAAAGAAATAAGTTGTGGAACACAGGCGAATTAATATCAAAGAAAACACTAAAACAAGTTCTTACCTAGACCTAAAAGAGGTCTAAGAACCTGAGATTTGATCTCGCTCAGTTTGAAATAAAACCTTCTCTCAGTAGAAGCCAACTCATGCAAACTGGCAATATATCCCATTACGTTCTTGTCTACTAAGATCAAACAGTTGTCACCACCAGCTATCACATTGCTTATGTACCCTATCTGAAAGATGAAAAAGAGGAAAGAAAAAAATGCAGCTTTAATGTTTGTCTTTTTACACTCCAATTAAAAAATAGGGCAACACAAAATCAGGCATATCTTTAGGAGCACTAAGTGACACTAAGTATTACCTATAGCAACAACAATACATTCAATACTGGCTTAATACAAGAATGATAAAAGTATAAGAAACATTTATAGTCAATGCTATTCATTTTCCTGGTACTGACAAAGCCTAGAAGACAACAAATAGACTGTCTTTCAAGGTGACTCATACAACCATATCATGGTGGTATTAGTAGGTATTTGTTTTCCACAGTAGTGGGAAGCAAAATTCTCCTCTAAGGTCAGCACGAGTGCCACTGATGCACCATGGCTTCTCAGTAATTCCAGTTCCTAAACAATACCATAAAGTAATTCAGTGATTGAGTTATACTTTTATTTCCTTTGTTGTTCAAGAAAGGATTCCTTAGAAACACTGAGACAGAGTTGCTCAGCCAGCAACCCACAGGCCAGTTCTGATATACAAGAGTCTACAAGTCACCCCACAAGAGAAGCAAAGAGAATGGCTAGCAACAACATTATAGAAGGAAGACAAGAGTGTGTGTCTGTGCCCACACATGCACATGCGTATGCATGGACCCAGCGTCTAAATCCCTGTCCCTCCACAAAACCCCTCTCCAACTGCTATGCTGCTCAATCTAGGGAAGTAACGAGACCCAAAAGAGCTGAGACAAAGAGCTGCTTTCTATTGTCACCATCTCCTGTTTGTTACCCTTAAACTCAAGTAGGTCTGAAATCATACACACAACTTGGAAGAGGACCTGCATTGAGAGTACACACTCCCCCACTTCATGCCAACTTCAAGGCAGATATGAGATGCAGCTTCACAAAGGAAATTCCACAGGGACTCCTCCTCTCTCCTATGAACAGGCAAATGCACATTTTGGTGGCTTTACATGCACGATAAAGGGAGAGTGAGGGAAGGAGATGGTGCAGAACTCAGAGGGACCTTCTGCCCACTCACAAACAAAATCCACAGGAAGAAGAATAGGAAGAATGGAAAAGAGCAGATAGTGCCCTCAATCAGTTGAAAAACAGGAAAATGAAGAGCAATAGTAGTGAAGAATAACCACATGAAGACTGAGGTGAACACAGAGCACAGTGTAAGGGGCACTTCTGCAACATGCACACATTGAAGAAAATGTATTAGACACACTGGAAGCACCTCCTTGTCCCTCAAACAGGAGGAAAAAACAAAAACCAGGGGGAATAGGGGAAGAGAACAATACTACTTAGGCCTCCTCTCTGCCCTCCATAAGCTGTGCTCCTGATTTGACTGGTAGGAACCAGTCACTTGACTTACAGCCTTAACGCTAGTTGAACAACCAGCACTGTGCTATTTTCAAAAAGCATCAGTACAATTTACACTAACTTAAAGGAAACACCACCCACCTTACTACAGGATAGTAGCAAAACCGGACTCTTAGTACAGCTATTTTCATACAAACTATTTTCTGTTGCTGTCTCCTGGCCACTGTAATATAATCCAGGTTGGAAATCCTCCTCATCTGCTAAGAAAAGGGAATAGTCTAGTCCTGCTGCTGTACTCCAAATACCGTCACCACACACCTGAAATTCACAGGGAAGGAAAAGACATTAGAAATCACCACCCGAAGCTGGAAGAAGAATACTTAACTCTTCTAGCCACATATGCATGCAATACACCTGCCAAGAAAAAGTAATGCAATAACTGGTAATTTTTCAACTTCAGCATCTCATAACAATTACCATTTCTTGCCTGTATACTAAAAATTATCTTTCTTTCCAGACTTCTTTCTAATGACTGATTTTTTTCCCTTAAATTATGAAAATGTTTTACTTTTAAATGGGCATCAGGTGAGCTTGATGAAAGTTGAAACACTATTCTCCCTCTACATTTAACTGGGAAACCTATAAATTTGGGACAGCTAACATGCTGTCCATTAATTTACATAAGGTAAACGGAGGAAAACTCTGCAGCTAGTTTCCCATTAAGACAAGAACCAGAAAACACAGGCAAGGTTCTGGTCTAACCCAAAATCATTACTTGGCTACTCACTCAATGTGACAAAAATTTCAAAACAAACATAAAACCCACTGCCAAACCAGCTCTAGCAATACAGAAATGATCAACAAATATGGTCATGGTCTAGCAAAGCTAAAAATGCCAAAAGAATATTTAGAATAAAAACAGTATTCCTCAGTATTTGAAAGTCAGTCTCAGAGAACCCAAATCTAAGGATGAAGTAAAATTTGATGAGATACACAACCAGACACATTTCTCAGTTTTAGAACTTCAATGTGGTCAAAAAACAGTGGAAGTATGTGTAAAGGATTTCTTGGATAGATTTTCACAAGCTCATCTACAGATTGTATTCACAGTATAAGCCAGAGACACCAAAGGCTCTATTATTATATATAGCACACAGGCCCATAAATAAGGTCAGTTTTTAGAAGTTACTTTGCACTCATTTGTATCAGAAGAGACCCTAAGCTGAAAGAAAAAAAAAATACAGAAAACGAAGTACCTTTGCAAGACGAGGGACTGTTGTCGGGGAGTTCAAGTGACCAAGCTGGCCAGAGATATTACTGCCCCATGAATACACCTGTAAGAAACACAGCTAAACATAAGAATGTAAGTTTATATACATGGACACATACTGAACTGTAGTAGTACAACATACCAAGTGTGCAAACACACACAAATCAAGGGTATAAGATTCATGTACCAAGAAGCAGTTCTCTAATTTCCACTGTCTTCCTATATTCTCCAATTGCCTCCTCACGTTCAGAAATGGAATGTACCAAACCAAGTCACTGCAATCTTTAAACACAGTGCGGATGTTATGTGCAGAACTTTGGCAGAAATAGAATTAAAATTCCACACTGCTTCCAAGCTGCCTCCCACAAACAGAAACAAAGGTTTAGAAGAAAAAGGAACAAAAATCTAGAAAACATCAAACATGGTAAGTAATAAATTATAATTGTACCTGGGATTTGGCAGTAAGTGCTAAGGAATGATGGCCACCAGCAGAGAGGTGAATCACTTCTTTACCGTCTAGGCTTTTCACACATAGAGGCTGAAGCCTGTCAGTCCCCAGAACCCAGGGAGAAGGAAGAGAGGGCAGAGGGAAAAGAAAGATATTATCAGAGGTATTCTTAAGACAAAAATAAATTCCAAGTTTTACTTTTTCCCAAAAACAAAATCGGAAAATAAGCATACGTATAGTCTTTTGTCATTAAACCAGCTTAGTCAAAAAGGTCACGAAGGGTAGAAGTCAACAATAAACCTCACCCCAGTTTGGACAAAGTCAAAATATCACCAAAACTCCTAGTGATTACAAGGGGGAAAAGTCATAACTGATTGATACTCAGTAACTATACTGTACAAAACATGTTACTTGGAGGAACTTAGGTCACAATACAGAAGAACAAGAACACGATGCAAGGCAATTAACTGAATTTGAGAATTTGAGAAAGCTGAATACTCAAAATTTCCTAATCATCTACTAAAAAACATTTATCTAAGAAATCTCACCTTGGCAGAACATCGCCATGTCCTAGCTGTCCTTCCTTCCCCTTTCCCCAGCTCCATACCTCCGTTCTTAGAGATGGTAGAAGAGCATCAGCCTCACCACTGTAAGTTGGAGTCAAAGCTACAGTCCTCATTTTTGCCCGGCCTACCTTCCGTAAGAGCCTCGGAGAAACTGAAAACAGGCCAAGAGACAGAAAAATTGCTCATTGTTTTAGGTAAATATATCACTCAGACTGTGCGTTGCACAGTAACAGTAACATTTGAGATAACTGATCAAGACTTTCTAAAGAGGTCTTACATTTGACAGCAAAGGCTGACATGTAAGAAGATAGCTTAGATACACAGAAGTAACATATGTGCTAAAAGTAGATGGATCCCAACTAATTCTTAGCAGCTACTGAAGGATAACAGGCATATGAGAACTAAACTGTTATACTGAGGCAAATGAAGCAAAACAAACGATACATTTTAAAAAGTAGGTTTTGAAAGAAAATATATCCTTGTAGTGAACAAAAGATTTCAATATTTCCTAAAATCTTCCCTCAGATCCAAGATCAATATAGAACTAAACCACGTATCCACCCATTCAAAGCAATTAACAACACTAAAATCTATGACAGAGGAAGGTCATTAACTTTGATATGAAGCAGTGGGAACTGGAATATTTCTAGGTCCCTGGCTCAAAACCAGCTCAGTGCAGTAGGGATAACAGGTCACACAGATTTTTATCTGCGATGTAACATACATGAAAAATAGTTTGCCATCATTTTGCAATAAGATGCCCAGACTACTATGATGTGCCTGCCTTACCTTACCAACAAAGAACATTATTAAACCCATTACACTTTTGGTTTTCTTAGCATGCAGTATCTCCTAGTCTTCACTCCTTGCCACCACCTTTAAGTCCTAAGATATAGTTTACAATTCATAAATACCTTTGGAAGATGATTAGATTTATGTTCAATAAATATATTCTATTTTCAGTTATAAACCTCCACACTATTATAACTTCTCCAGCCTCTTGGTTTTCCCAATGTGTTTTACCTTGTGACAACAAGCCAGGCAGTGAAAGTCTTCGACTCCCTCCTTCAGATTCCTCCTCTCTAATATCTACTAAACTGGAACTCTTCTTCCCCTGCATGGATTCCAGTCTGACCTGCTCTTCTCGACTGTCTTTCAGAGCTTCAGGCCCTGGGGAACCGCCACCAGACTGAGACCCTGGTTCACTCGAAGGTGTGCCATAGAAGTTCATTACTTTCTTCAGAGACAATGCTCCAGCTTCATATGTAGCAGCTACTCTCACACCAACTGCCGATGCACAAGAGGCCACCAAGCTGTTCAAGGCAGATGCGCTGGTACCTGGAGGGCCAGGGATACAAGCACCGAGTTGTTCTTCTTGAGAAGGCTAAAAGAAAAAAAAAAAATTGAAGACTATCATACCAGACAGCACATAACAGTAGGATGATGATGCACACATTCATTATTCAAACTAGGTGATTCATGGATTAATGTTGCAAAGTCTATCTTAAGACAAATCTGGGCTATGTGACCCCTTACTCTACTGTTGTATCCATATAAATCTTAGTTAATAAATCACACTAGGGACAAACTGACTGAAGGCAATTATTAATATCAGCACATGATCATCTACAATAGCAGTCAACTTACCCACCAAATAAGAAATAATGCACAAGCTATTTGCCAAAGAGTTTGAATGTTAAAATAAAGACAGCAAAGTCCCATTTTCCCACTTGATATATTATTTCCTACCATGTAAATATTATAGCTCATTTTTATCCTGCCAGAAGGAAAACAATCTTTGACTTCTCTTTTTTTGTGAGAAATCAGGCTGAAGGATTGGATCTATTTACTTGTACTTCATTCCTATTCATAAAAGGCACTCCTAGCAATACAGAAAAGCAAGCTTGATTTGTGTAGGAAAGGAAAGAGAAACAAAGGATTTTACTAATGCTGAAACATTACATTAAAGTCCTCATCTCTGCTCTTCACACTTACACTCAATTGTGTTAGGATTCAGTGAATCAATTCCAGGCTTGTTTATTCCTGGAACTGTGTGAGGGAAACAGTACTCTGGAAATATTCCAAGAACAAGAAGTTGAGAAAGGGAGCACGAAGCTACGTGTTTCAGTCATTTCCTAACAGCAGGAGTTCTTGCATGAGGCTGAGAGGCCCACAGCTGCTGGAATGCGTTTGTATTAGCAAAAAGCAAAAGGAAGGACAATTGTGTTCGCACAAAGTTTATTTCTCTGAAACAAGTTTCCCTCAGAATAGGAAAACACAACTTGCTAAATCACCACGTCACTGGACAGTTTCTTTTGGTTTTACTACTACTTTCTTTTTCCTCCCATCAGAGGTGATTAAAAAAATCAACTATTTAGTAGACACTGAAAACCATTGTGAAGAATTTCTTACTGTAACTATTAAAAAAATTAATAAATTGGTATCTACACAACCTGACTTGAACTGACAAAAGAAATTTTCAGAATCCTGTTATAAATGTTGCATATTGGGTCAGAGTGGCAGTTTTTCTTACAGACGTTACCTTTGCCATAAACCATCCAGCAGGACAGTACCAGATTGCACTGCAAGAGTCTGGATTAGTTTTCTGTCTAACAGCTTTTGGGTTGGATCTTCTTCCCTGCCTCACTTCAAGTAAGATTTTTTTTTTAAGTAGTGGAAAATGTAGTATTTGACAGAGAGCTGGGAACAGCTCTTGAACGTTCATATCAAGCATTTTCTGATGCTTATTAAGAAATTATTATTTTACTATTCTGCTATAGCATCAACACAGTGTTGTTGAACCATTTTCCACATCACACAAAACAGAGTAGTAATAATGTATTTTCAATCTGTTTATAAATTTATGCAACCCCTTATGACTAGCATGGGAAGCCTTTTGGTCAGCACTTTAACGCTACCTTTACAGTCTTACCTTGCAATCTAGAATTTTTAACAGATTGAGAAATTAGACAGATTTGTGAGAGATTTGGTCCACATACAGAGAATAAAGTTTTACCTTAAAGGTAAATTAGACAAGTACCAGCTTAGTGCCCCAAACAAATAGGAAATTCACGCATCATAAAACTGCTAGAGAATGGGCAACTGGCTTATGTGGTTCTGGCACAGTGGACCACAAAGAAGAGAGACTATAGCACTGTCACAGAATCACAGAATAGCTAGAGTTGGAAAGGACCTTAAAGATCATCCAGTTCCAACCACCCTGCCATGGGTAGGGACACCTCCCACTTGCTCAAAGCCCTGTCCAACCCGGCCTTGAACACTTCCAGGGAGGAGGCATTCACAACGTGCCTGGGAACCTGTGCCAGTGTCTCACCACCCTCACAGTAAAGAGTTTCTTCCTAATATCTAGTCTAAGTCTACCCTCTTCCACTTTAAAACCATTCTCCCTCGTCCTATTGCTACCTGCCCTCATAAAAAGTCCCTCCCCAGCGTTCCTGTAGGATCCTTCAGGAACTGGAAGGCCGCAATAAGGTCAATCCAGAGCCTTCTATTCTCCAGGCCAAACAGCCTTAAAGGCTTACAATTGAACAAAGATGAAGGACAAAAACTCTTTCACTTTTTTCGTTCTCAAAAACTTTCTTTTTCAAAAACTCTTTCTCTTTTTTTTCCTCTTTCACAGGAACAATCACAGACAAGAAACACGTTGAAACTACAAGAACAACACAGCTACCTTAAACTAATAGAATTTTTCATTTGTGAAAAAAGAGTAACATTGTCACATATACAAGAGAAGTTGTAGCAACTTAAGAGCTAGTGACTAGGTACCAACCTGCTCAGGTTCTGTGCAGATGTTTTTCTTCAGACTCTCATTTATTGATTGATCTGATAAACTGATTAAGTACTCTTTCACTTCTTTTTTGTCTGAAAACAGACTATTTCCAGGACTAGAAATTCCACTTTCTTCCTGTCTATTGTTGCTGGAAAGCACACTTGCTCCATCAGATTCTAAAGCAACAAGTGTATGTTCTTCCACAAGAGGTTTCTGACAGTCTTCACTTTGGCTACCTGTTACACTTTTTCCTTCTAGGGTCTCCAGTGAGGGACAGAAGACATGGTTTTCTGGTTGGTTATCAGACAGTGCTACACCCAGTGGGCAACAGTGACTATCTGAAATGATTACATGATCTTCCTTGTCCGTCATGGTAATGAGGAGTTGACTGCAATGGTTGCACCTCTCTGGGATAGGCTTCATTTCCTGCACAGGGAGACATTGTACCAGAGCAAGACTGTGGTAGGCTCCACAAGCAATCTGGAGCACAACGCGTCCTGCCAGGTGCTCTACCTTCTGTGGCTTTGTCACTGGGAAAGTTGTTGTTATGAGACCAAGCTGGCAGCCACTCCCCCAGGCCCATATCTCTCTGCTTAGTGATAGTGCAAGGGTGTGCTCCTCTCCACATGCCAGCTGCAAAATCCTTACTGATAAGAGAGGGCTGGTTTCAGAATCAGAAATACTGATGGGTTGTGGCTCTGGCACACACGGCTGATTAGCAACTGCACACTGGCCAGCAGAATTGTTCCCCCACATGAACACCACACCACTTTCTGTCACGGCTCCATTATGGAAGCTGCCAGCTGCAACTGTGATAACATGATGTCCAAGCAAAGTATTTTCCAAGACAGGAGTATTAGCACACAACTCTTCCGGTCCTGTTCTCCAGGGCAGTTTTCCAAAACTGTATACTTCTCCACCTGGAATAAAAAAAATAAATAAAAAAACTCCAACAAAACCAAAAACAAGGCAAAATCCAAACCTAGCATGAGTCTAATGAAGTCAAACCAATACAAAAATTTGAAGAGAGATTCAGATAAACAGTTATCAATTTTTAGCTTACTCCAGGCTCAGTGAAACTATGGGTATTGATATATGAAGACTGCAGGTTGCTCTCTGCTATTGCTGCTGTTAAGTTCTATAGCTCATGTTAAAATTACCTTGTGTGTGCATGCACTAAGTAATGCTTTTCTGCTAAAAATTCTACTATACTCAATTTGAATGTATTTATTGGTCCTTTCTATTTTAAGAACATGCAACATATTAAGGACATACAACCATGGTTGAAGAGAACAAGAGAGCACAGAGCTCATCTTTCCATAGTAGCACACTAAACTGTACTGTTTGCCACCCTATAGTAAAACTGGATTGCCCTATCAGGTGGAAAGTGTGTGTGGTAGGGGGGTGCAGGGCGTAGAAAATGTATCTTGCCACTGGCTTGACGATGTACTGCAGCCTCTCCAGAATTTCATTATCTTTATCTTAAAAGATTGCAGCAATGCCAATTCAAGTTACTTTGCCAATTCTAAAGAAAAGCAGAAAGCTATTTTTAAGATGAACAGTTGCTTTCCCAGTGACAGAAAAATGGTAAATCATATCCACAAACGACATCCTTCATGAGGCAAGGACACACATGCAAAAGGTCTTTTTAATTATGAAAGAAACATGTTCAAAAAACCAAACCCAAACAAACAACAAAAAGAGCCATGACTGGAGCTCTATAATAACTCCAACAGAGAAGAGATGCTTCTAGCAGGCTCACCAATAGCCTGGAACATTTTCTTCAAAAAGGTCAGAGAAAAATCAAAGCAGCAACTTCCAGTTTAGTCCTTACAACTGTATGCCCATTGATCAGTACCAGTAAGGATCAAGCTATGCAAACACTTCAACGGACTGGCTTTTAGAAATATTTCAAATCACAGTGCCAAACCGCTCACAAACCAAGACTCACTCTAATGCATCTATTAGCATTAACAGGAATGAAAGCTCTTACACATCAAGAGAGCCTCTTGCTGTACTGTCTATTTTGAATGAAAGACATCACAAGAAATGTCTTTTGGAGTTAACACAGTTCCGATTACATAACCATCTTTAAACAGGAAATCCAAAGACATTGTAAAAGAAAAAAAAGTATGAAAGAAAATGCTATGTATATAATTTGTATTCCTACAACTTTTTAAATAACTGATAACTAAATACTGGCAAAGTTAAAAATCTAACTGTTTAAAAGCTGTGTATGAGACACAGAATGAAAAAAAAATCTAAAAGAGGACTTGACAGTAAAGTTTGTTATTGCCTCAAATCTTTATAATTAAGATGTTGATTACCTTCTGTTAGAAGTAATCCATGATGTATTCCAAGGGCTGCCTGTAATACAGTCTTTCCACTAAGGCCTGGAAGCCTTTCTGGAGTTACAGAGCAGGAACCAGCCTTCCACACATAGACCAGGCCTCTCTCTTTGGCTCCTTCTGCCTCTTCTGAGCTACAAAAAGATTGGAGGAAATACAGAATCAGTTTAAAGTTTCCTGTGGTTCAGTAAGGCATAGTTTGCTTTTCACATATGTAGGAAGGGCTTTCTTGTTCAGGCATAAGAGTTTCAATTTCAATAAGTAAACATACTTCATTTACAATTTGGTAATCTTAAATTAAATGTGATTTAAATGAAAAACAAGTATCCTCCATTTGAAATAATTTGCTTTCTTTTTCATTTGTACTGTACTGCCTCAAAATCAGCTGATCTTGTCACTAGTAAACTTAGATACATTTATTCACAACTGTTACAGCCTTTATATTACATATGGTATTTGTTGCTCGCAGAAAGGACGTCAAAGTAATACAAAATTCTGCCATTGCACACTGAGGGAGATTGTTGCATCAGTTCTACCCATATGTAAGCAACTATGTTTCCATCTGAACAGCGAGATTTATAATGTTAACTCTTCCTGTGTTAGAAAGCAAAAGGAACAGTTCTGGTTTATTAGGTTTTATACATGTTTTATATTATTCGTCTTTTGGAAATCAAAATGCAGGACAAATGGTCTTACAACTATGTTTTTAGTAGTCGCAGAAAACATGAAATATGCTGAAAATACACTAAAACATCTCAAATAACAATTGCTTTAAAAGTAATTAAGCAGAGTATGTATTATGTGCAGATTTTCCCGTGAGTCAATTGCTCCCATTTCTAGTGCCTTCAAAAGATTGCACCTATAAGAGCTCATCCTTTATATACTTTCCTTTCTACCTTTACATAGAAAAACGAGGGCTTTTTTTTCCTCTTTTAATTCTTAATGTTTCTCAGATTCAAATGAGCCAGTCATTCAAATCAATTGAACCAAGGTGGGGGAGGAAAACAAAAACAAAGAAAGAAACCCATCCTGAAACAGTGGAAGTATCTGGGCTTGCAAGAGTGACCGGAACTATCCAAAGCTTGTTTAACACTTTTCAGCACACTCTGGTCTGAATGCTCAGTCAGCAACTTCTCCCATTCAGCAGAAAGACATTCCTCAGAACTTTTGACAAGCAGCATATAGTTTTCACAATTTGCACAATTACTTGATTTAAACAAACACAAAATGTCATTTTAGATACCGATATATACTGACAGCATTTTAAGTTAAATTAAGAGTTTTCTTTAGATTACTTTAAAAATTTATATAGAAGAGATTGTAATCAACCCTGTAGGATAAAGTAGGTGCAGCTCCTTATTTGCTAACAGTAAAGTGATCTGCTCCCCACATAAATAAATTCTTGCGACTTTGCATGAGCTTGTGAAGTTAATATATAAGGTAGTGAGAAGAGTCTTGATGAAGTGGCAATCTTTGTCCAGAAGAAAGGGCACAAAATCCCAAGTGTATTCCAATACTGAAGCAAACTCAGGAAAAGCTAGCCTGATAGGACACACTGTGGACAACTTATACAAGTAGCACATTCAAAAGCCATGAGGCTCTATTCATGCAGATTACTGATTATTTTTAAACCGAAAATTTTGCTAGTTGTGGTGCATAAGATGAACAATACATTTGCACAAACTGCCTCTGAAACATTTAAGATGAGAACAACTAAGATGGAATTATGTGTCTCTTAGCTCCTGTACCCATCCCCAATCTCTTTTTTTTTCCACACAACAGAAAAAGAAAAAAAAAATCAACAAAAAGGTGACAGTCAAAAACTTTACACAAGTAAATACACAAGTATTTTAATCCAAACAACATACATAGTATTAAAATGCTGAGTCTATATTGCATTTTAAATACATAGCACTTGTGTTTAGAAGTAAATTAAAAAGAAACAAATTGAGTCATATATAGGCCACAAAAAGAGTCCATAAAAGTCCAACATCATAATTAGGACATTTAGCTAAAATCTAAATACAGATTTTACTCAGTTGGCCAAATCACACCAAAGAACACAACACGGTAATATAGAGAGTTTTCATCAACTGCACATTAGATTCAGTCCAAAGTCTGATATCTGGGCTTTTATCCATTTAATAGCTCTTCAGAGAACAGTGTAAGACAAATTTGGACAGTCACATACCAGGACTTGTTACAAGACACTACTTTTCTATCCCAAAAACATCTGACCTCTGTCAGATATCTTAGTGAAAGAAACAAGAAGCAAAATAATAGGCTACTGCAGGACTATTGGTCCAGAATCAAACTTCACAGGTGCAGGTAACAGACATGAGAATGTTACTCTCAAGTGCCCAGTCTATGGCTGTCCCTCCACAGGTTTCAGCGATCAACTTAAAAAAAGAAGTTGCTGTTGTCATGAGCATTCCAGACATAACTGAAACTAAAGTTAAGTTGCTTCTCTTCTTCCCTTCAGTGTAAGTTACATAAAGAGCATGCTGACATCACTTAATTTTACAGGATGATCATGAGCTGGCATATTTCAGGGAGCCTCTGTGGCTTCACCTAGCTCCTCATTCTCACCTTCTTTCCTGTGAGTCCATCTGTCAGTGGCAGCACTCCATCACCACCAAATCAGTCCTCGTTCAAAAGGAACAATGCAGTTTTCACAAACTGTAAAACATAAAAAGTTACTTAATTGCAAATAATGCTAAGTCTAAAAAAAACCAAGCCAAAACAAAAAAACAATAAACAAGAAGCAAAGCTTTAGAGCCTATGTTAAATAAATAAGCACTTCAATACTAGGAAGGTTGAAGTATTTAGTTCACTCACGCTGAGCTGGCAGACAAAAGCCGAACAGCCAGACTTGTCCTACCTACTCATCTCACAATAGGTCTGTTGTAAGGACAGACTGAACAAAACCTCGTCCAAAGGCAGAAATTAACATCAACTTCTCTCTGTAATTCCCAGTGTACCACTCAGGAGACATCAAAGCAGGATAATTGATTTTCAGTCTATAATAAGATAGAATTCTATGTTCAAGCTACATTTATAAGTTAAACAGACCTGTACAAGCAGAAAAGGGTTTAGACTGAATTCATAATTGTATTCCTGAACCAAAGCACGTATTACCATTAAAAGGCACAGTTCTATTAAAGCCCATGCAGATATGCAGAGAGCCAATTAAGAGTTAAAAACATTTCTTCATGCAAACTGGTGGTAGAGTTATCTATGAATATATGATAAGACCACCGAAGCCAAGAAGAAAAAAAGTAGCTCGTCTATTTATGCTTTTAACCTTTCAGATTTTGAATTTTGCAAGTTCACTCTTGCACCTTTCCATGGTCATGAAGATACCGTCACATACTTTTTTTGTAAAAAAACAAAGCTACAGTTAATCTTTGTTCCTTATAATCTGGTTAGTTTTTTAATATGGAAAGAACCATAATTTTTCTTGATCTACTACATTACTAGATGAAGTATTAAAAATTTTAGTTACATTAATGTATGCATGTAATCATATTTATTCAAATAATCTTTAGACCCTTTTGCTTTATTACAGTTGCTGACTGATACCCACTGTAGTAAAATCTGAAAATAAATTATTTCATATAATAGTTTTTTAAGACAATATATCTCCAACAAAAGATCCAGAATGAGTAGTCTGAAGCTCTTACCTATAGAAAATAGAAATAAAATATGGCCAGCCTTGATTAGAAGAGACAATATATGCAAACCTATAAATTGCACACAGAAGTTGCAATTCACATTTGGAAATAGTAATCATCAAATTGATAAATAATTGAAATAACCAACAGAAATCCCAACACTTTCACTAGACTGCTCTGAATAATGAAGTACCAAGCAGACCTTTATAGAGAGAAACAGCAACACATCACACCAAACATTTTCAGGTTTCCAAATACAGGACACTAAAAATAGTGATTTGGGCTTCAGGGTTGGCAAAGGACATAGCACAGAAAGATAAAGAGCCACAGAAAAAAAAAGTAAATCAAATTAATGTGATAGAATAGTATTGTGGTAAGTCATCTGCACCTTGCTCTAAAAACAACCCCAACCAACCAACAAAACAGAGCACACTTTCTAGGAACAGATACACACTAAGTCGCGCTTGTCACTAGAAAGATACTGCTTTCAAGGCACTTCTGCCTCTCCTTCCTCAACTAAAAATGGAAAAAAGAAAAACCACCCACAACTGTAAAACAACTTCTAAAATATTAACAGAGGAAGCCTCACAAATACAAGACAACTGTCACGCAACACTTCAGTAACACAGGTGCTGATGAAATGTCAAAGGAAAATGGAAACATATTTTTGGAACTTCTAACGCTGTGATGTGTTCCTGCTCAGGCTAAGTACATTTGGGATTTTTTTAGCCTGCTCAAAACCACCTAACCCCACAACACATTTTCTTGAAAATGCTGGCACTTCTCTCTGAAGAACTATAGCTTCACAAACAAATATCCAATGGATCAATGAATCAAAGAGATGGGAGCTTTGATAGAGTGATCCAAGTATCAACAATTGTATCATTTACATCATATATACTGATTCAAGATTGGAAAGCTAGGTGTACAGTTCTTGACTTCTATAATTCAGGAAGTTTTTCATTTTTGTTTTAAGGGCTCCAAGAATTTTTTCATTTTCATGAGCTTTAACTGCACAAAAAATTACTGTAATTCTCATGAAAACCTTTGATTATAACAAAACAAAGTTAAAGCCAGCATCTGATTGCCTGTTTTGCATGATCTCCCTTCAAGGCCCATTTGGAAAAGAATTTGTGTAACTATTAAGAAACCTGCAACACTGGTAGACTAGAAATTAAGAGAGTGATACGATGGTGGTGATCCATTTGATTTTCTTTACAAAAATCGCACTTAAGGTTGCATTGCTAAGCATTTATGCATATTAGGGAAAATGAAAGTAAAACTGTTTTCTTTCTATAAACAAGACATTGTTAAGACATTTGAAAATAATTTTCAAGTTCAGTGTAAGTTTTCATTCACTCCTAGGACAGCACAGTATTATTCCAATTTCACAGCTAATACAAAATAAAAGTCATTTGGTCATGGCTACAAACTAAGTATTTATAAATAAAAAGTTTCTTCTTCCCAAGAGGAATACAGAATTTTCCTTGCTGATTTTCACATTTATACAGTATTATGTTGTAGCATTACATATACATGATTTTTTTTCCACTAAGATTACTGTATTGCATTTGTGCGATGGGGTTTTGTAGCACGAGGGGAAAAACTACAGTTCACTCCTGTGAGAAGCTGCTAGAAGCTTCCCCAGCTCCAAGTCAGAGCCACCTCTGGCCAAGGCCAAGCCAATCAGCGATGGTGATAGCCCCTCTGTGATAATGTATTAAAGAGTGGGATGCGAGAGAAACAACTTCACAGACACCAAGGTCAGTGAAGAAAGGAGGAGGAAGAGATGTGCTGGAGAAGAGACCATGGTAAGGCAGGCTGTTCCCCAGCAGCCCACAGAGGTTAACAGTGGAGGAGAGATCCACCTGCAGCCCATGGAGGACCCCACACCAGAGCAGGTGGATGCGCCTGAAGAAGGCTCTAACTCCATGGAAAGCCTGCATTGGAGCAGTCGATTCCTGAAGGATAGCATCCTGCAGAAAGGACCCATGCTGGAGCAGTTCATGAAGACCTGCAGCCTGTGGGAAGGACTCACATCAAAGGAGACAGTCTTCCAGGAACTTCTATGGGCAGGCCACCATGCTGCAGCAAGGAAGAGCACAAGGAGTCCTCCTCAGGGAGGAAGCAGCAGAAACAACTTGTGATGAACTGACTACAATGCCCATTCCCCATCCCCCTGTGGTGCTGAGGAGGAGGAGGTAGAGAAACTAGGAGCAAAGTTGAGCCCAGAAAGAAGGGAGGGGTAGAGAGAAGGTGTTTCTAAGTTCTGGGGTTGTTTTTCATTATCCTACTGATTTGATAGGTAACAAATTAAATTTTTTTTTGTTCCCCAAGTTGAGTCTGTTTTTCCCATGACCATAATTGGTGAGTGATCCCTTCCTGTCCTTGTTCTGACCCACGAGCCTTTTGTTATATTTTCTCCTTCCCATCCCACTGCAGAGAGAAGTGAACAGCCGCATGGTGCTTAGTTGCCAGCTGGGCCTAAACCACAACTACCTGAATTGTTACTAGGTTTAATGTTCATAGAAGTGAACAGACAGGCACAATACATCATTCCCATGGTATAGAAGATTGGTATGATACCAGCACCTGCACCGCTCTGCCCGCACATTTACCTTCTACATTTTAACTTCAATGCTGCAAAAGCAAAAAAGCAAAGAGTGCCAAATTATGAAATGGGTTTGTGTTACAGACAGATGGTCACCAGCATGACACTGATGTCACACTTCCTACTTACAGAGTAGAATGCTAATTCAAATTCTCCAGAAATCAAACACTATGACACCGTAACAACTGCCATGGCAGTGAAAGACCTGGAGTAAACATTACTCTTAATACTATGGGACTGCGTCCTTCACTGGACATTGACCACTCAGTACTATGCATCAGAGGTATAGAAGTAATCTTACTTTCAATGCTGAACAGGAACTAGTACACCCCTGACTTTCAGAAACTGTAGAACTCCCATCAGCCTCATGTGCTTATTTACCTGTTACAGTTAATAAATACCACAAATACTTCTACAACTTTCAGACATTTTTATTTACGTATTTACAAAAACATTTTTAATAAATTTGTTGCACCATATTTAGCAATAACTTACACTACCAAAAATGCAAGTTTGTTATACCAACCTACGTACTCAAGGTCTGACAGAGGTTAACTCCAAAGCTTCCTAATTCAAAACAAAGTTGTCAACATTAGTCTTGCCTACATACACATCATCATTTATTATTGCTAACTGTGGTTCACACATAATCCATTACAAGTTCAAGAAGCCCTTGTGTTTTGGTCTGCACTGCCTAGGTACCACCACTGTGTCATTATGATCTGCTCAGAGCAAAACAAAAGAACTTGCTATTAAAAGACAGCAGCAATCCCTTCAGATGAGGGTTCAAAGCTTTTAATACCAGTTCCAGTGAATGAGTGATGGTAGAAAACAAGCTATAACAGTAAAGAAGCCCGGGGAAAAAAAGTAAACAAACACAACCAAGAAGTGGCCTAGTATCAGAACAGAGAAAGAAACAGAGCTGAAAACCATCTGCTATAGCACCTAATAATTTAAAATTTACCAAACTAATAAGAGACTCATAAACTTCTGAATATCCCTCCATCCCCTCTCTCTGTTGAAATGACACCTTCTTAACTTGGCATACGTTCAGGTGCTTCCCCTTCTGAAAACTGTTAACTGCACAGAAACAGACAGATGATAAGTACAGCTACTTTTTATAAGTCACTACACTACAACAGCAGTGGCAAAGTCTTGACAGCAGAGATCAAGTACCTATCATCTACAACTGCTCTAGTTGCTCCACAGCATCTCGGCAAAATATTTTGTGCTGGAAGAGGAGGTCTGTGAGAGTGACAGCATGCTACGTCATCTGTAAATGATACTGCAGCCACGCTGGGACCATTACTCAATAGACTCGAAAGTTTAAACGGCGTTTAATCCTGAGCAGTCAAGTCATGCAAAGAGAAAGGGTTTTGAAGTGAAAGTGGAAGCA